CAGAGAGAGGATGCAACACAGCATGCTCTGCAAGGAAACAGGAAAGCAACTGGTTGGAAATGTTCATCTGGCTAACACCAGTCCCTTTCTTGCTAGGATTCCTAACCTGAAACCAAGTCAGAAGAAGAAGGCGAAGGTGAYTGTGAAAGGCAGAGCCCGRGAGCGAAAGATTCTTCCTCCGCCAAAACGCTCTGCGTTACGGCAGGCAGACGGAGCCCCAAAACCCAAGAAGACGGTGCACTGGGAGCCAGCACCTGAGTGACAGCATTTGAGTCAGCTGGAGCACGCAGCAGGAGCCACCAGCACCATGTCTTCTGCTGCTAACGGTCTCCCACCAGAGACCTCTCCGGCTACATTTCCGAGCTCCAGTGAACACCTCTAGGTTACCTTTCAGCAATCTAAGATTAGTAATTGTTTATTAGACTGTTAATTAATTGTTAATTAACATAACATGTTAGCTAATTGTTAATTAGTGGTTAAATAATGGTTAAATAAATTGTGTTTCAATCTGCAGTTCTTCTCACTTTKACTCTTCCAGTTCTCTCCCGCATTCCGTGGTGGGGCAATGAGCTAGTCTCTTTGCAGTGCTTGGCTGTCAGCTGGTGCTCAGCCATCTCCAGGAAGGCACTGGCCCACTTCCTCCTCAGCCACTTCCTCTCTCAGGAATTCCCTTCAGGCCTTGGGCACTGTGTAATGAATGGGATGGTGAAGTGTCCCTTGGTCACACACAAGTAATTGCACTAATGTGGGTGCAGCCCTGACTGTACCAGGCACTCCTTTCTTGTCCTTTAGGCTCCCCTTCATCTGCAGCAGTAGCCAGGCAYGGGAGAAGCCCAGCTCCAGCAAGGCAGCCCAGCTCAGGACACACAGGAACAGTGTAGAGCTGGGAGGGGAGGCTCCTTAAAGCAAGGCTGTGTATCAGGACTTCTCTCAGCCCAGGCTTGAAGYTGGGCAGCAGACGGCCAAGGCTGCTTCAAATCACTGTTGCCTTAACAGCACAAGTTTGCCCTGGTCCCAGCTGGGTTCCAGCAGGAAACCTGACTGTGGAGAGCCGGTCTTGCAGGAGGGGAGTTCAGCAGCCTTTGCTTTCTGACTGATAGGATTATTGTCCCTGAGGAGCAGGCTGAGCCCAGGGAGAATTGGGGCTGAATGARYTGAGTAAGAATTGGAGGAGGGATAAGCAGCTGTTAGAAAGCTGTGATCCAGTGTAAAGTGGGAAATCAAGAGATGGAGGGCTGCTTTGGGCATCAGTGCAGAGAGAGRGKGGATCAGCCTTTGGCAGTGGCCTGGAGGTGTCTGGGTGGGCCTGAAGAGAGAGGGTGCACAGTCGAGACCTTATGATGGCTCAGGTTTGGCTGGTCCTGGAGGTCCCCTCCCACCTTTGCCCTCACTTGGGATGTTCCTGACCTCTGTGGGTCGAGGAAAATCCAGGGAAATGGTCTCAAGGTTGTTCCTGGCCTCAGGATCACGGAATGAAGTGCAGGGCCAGCCRGGATTGCAGTGAGCCCAGGTTTCTGGTGGTGACTCTTGCGGATGTTGAAATAAATCCACATTGGGGGCAAAAGACTTGTCCTTAAAGGCTCGTGCCCGAGGCTGGTCTGTTATGAGAGTGAATTAATTGCAGGATGTGCATTTCAGCCTGTGAGGAACATCAAGCCTGACTTGAGACACCCCCCAGAGGAGCCTCCACTACATCTAAGAGAAGGTCAAGGAYGRTGGGWGGCTTGGCAAGCTGATTATATKGGATCCCTTAGGAGATCAGAAGGGAAATATCATGTTTTAGTAGGGGTGGGACTAATTCTGTGTGGATTATTCCTTCATTTTGATGTTGTAGTTACGTTCCTGGCTCCAAAAGGACAGGAAAACTTTGTGTTTGTATTGCAGGG